GTAGCCATTTTTCAGGCATCTTTGGCAGACTCGTGACGTCCGACGTTTCGCAGGCAAGGACAAAAGCGGAGAAAGCCGGAAAAAAGCTGGGAATTTGTGACGCCTCCGCCTCGTGTTAACAATGGAAGTGTGCCACGCCCCCTCAAAAGGTACAAATGTCGCCGAAATTTATTAGGTTACATTAACCGACACAAGGACTAAGGACTCGCCGGAATACACACCATATATTAATATAAAAGCTCGTATATGTGTTCCGCAGCAATTGTTTTGTCTTTCTGGCTCCGGCTAAAGTGCACATTTGTTGCCTTCTTTATTTCTGGCCCCGATGTTAATCAGGATTTGTGACTCATCCTCGCACGCACTGATAAATTAATTTGTGCTTCTTTACTTCCTTGACATTTTATTGAAATTTGCATAAACATAATTTCCGAAAGGACGTCCGTAAATCCTCTGGGGCAAAAGAAAACAATGCCAAACACTATGGACTGTAAGTTGGGTAAACACATGCAGTAAGAAAAACTCTATTATTTCACTACATTAACTTGGGATTTATTGTTTATGGCAGCCGAGGAGGTTAAGGGGCTCAACAATTCAATGGACACGAACATCGATGGGCCAAAGTCAAAGTTTCTGAAGAAATATTTACTGAAAAGTTGCCTGAAAAGTTGACGAAGCCCCTGAGCATTTAAGGCCTTGTCCTTGGCAACACTTTTTTCCGTCCTTAAGTTTTGCCCTAATTGAAAGAGCTTTGTCCTGGGCCGGTTCATGTGTGTATCCTCCGCAGTCAGCGCATCATAAGGCTGTCATAATATGCATTTTAAATTAAGTATGCACACGCGGCGTATGCGCAATATGACGAGCAGCAGCCGCCGCAAATTTCCTTGCCAGTCTGTTTTCTCTACGCTTTTTTTTTTTGTGGAGAGAAATTTCCACTTGCCCTTTGTTTCTGGCCAAGTTTATGTTATACAATTTTCGTTTCCATTTCCCCTTTTGGCATTTCTCCGCCCAGAGCTCGTAAATCTTTGAAGAGGCGGCGGGTAAAAATGGAAAATTGCCCATTTTGTGTGTTGGGTCATAAAATGGCAAACAGATCAATATAACATTTATTTATATTTTCGCCCGAGTGGCCATAAAAGTGTTGCGCCATTCAAATGATCGGCTGGATTGGCGTGTTCTAATTAATAAGAGTGTCTGGTGTGTGGGAAAAATCAAGTCAATGGAAGGCACTTCAAAGGCTGCCCCGGGGATTTATGGCCTGCAGCAGGCCGGAAGTGTCACTTGGTAACTCTAGCAAAACTCCCTGCCCCTTTCCTCGGCCAGCCTGTATTTATGTAGCGATAAAATTAAATTTATTTTAACGCCAGCCAAAGGTGTGCGCACATAGTCAAACACTATCGCCAACTTGGTAGCAAGTTCGCTTCGAAAACTATCCCTTCTTGGCCAGGAAATCGCTGGAATCGCTGGCAGAAAGGCCGGGAAAAGCACCTGCGATAAAAGTTTCTGCGCCATTTTCCACTTTCTTTATGTAGATGTGTGTGTGTGCGAGTGTGAGTGTGTGTTTGTGTACCAATGTCTGGGTATTTGTTGCCTGCTTTTTTGGGCATACGCACGAGTCTGGTGCTCCGGCAGTCGCTAACTGTAATGCAGCCCATAAACCAGGCGGCAAATGCAATGATATTGCCAATGGTCGTGGCCGTGGTCGTGTTTAATCTGCCAGCCGGAGTTAATATGCCTGCCGCAATGCAGTGGCAGACGGGCTGGAAAGGGGGGTTAGAGTTTTCCCCATTTTCTTGCCAGTCGGCAGAAAATTTTGCTTAGCCACAGAGTGTTCCCGAAAATTGATGCAAATGTCGGCATCTGATCCGATCTGAATTCAATAAATTCACTAAGGAAACTAGTGTTGCGAATAATATTGAATTGGCCTTTAAATATACCTCATTAGCCTACTTAAATGCAAGCAAAAGTTAACTTAAGAACCCCTTTTTTTATTAGGTATTGCATGCTAACATTTTTATTTAAATCGTATTCTAGTATACAGTCATATTTTAATAACTGTTAATATTAAATCAATTTAATTGAAAAAATACATTTATAAGCTCATTGTTTAAAAGGCTTAATATATAATTGCTGATTATAATTTTGTAGAACTAAAAGTGTGCTTTCCCATTAGAAAAAAACTATTAAAATATTTAGCAAAAAAGGTGTGAAAAAAGCCATTTAAAAACTCAAAAATCAATTAACAAATTGCACTTTTTGCTTATGGCACACATTTTATTTATAATCATTAGCATAATGACATTTTATTGATAATTAAAAGAGTTTTTCAAGACGAGTTTCAATATTTTAAGAATATTGCATTTAATCCAATAATTTTATTAGCCATTTAATATTTTCTTTGATCCATAAATTAATTTGTATGAAAAACTCGACAAAAACAATTAATTGCGCTAATGTTTCATAAGCTCAGCTCTTTCATTACAAAGCCCACAATGTTTTCTTCTTCTCTCGCATAACAGCTAATTAAATCCAGCAGTTTGCCATTATTGAACAAGATGACATATCCATTTCGCATTCAACTTCACCCACGTGTGTAAACAAAACCCCAATTATTTACTACCATAACCAAACTTTGATTAGCTATCGCCGAACCCCCCGTTAATGATTTATGCCACCCGAAATTGTGTTAATTAAAACTCTTCAGTTCGCTGTGGGGAGTGAGCATATTGATTTTCGCTGTTGCGATTGATGGGTACTACTGTATATGGTTTTATGGTCTAGGCTATGGCTATGGATATATGCAGAACGATAAGCTGATAAACGATCCAATGACAGCCCCTTATAAATAGGAGTGTATAGTGCGGCCGCCTCATAAACGTATCGCAAATGTCGGCCAAGAAGCGTGAGCCGCCGCCCCAGGATCCGATTGCAACGCCCCAAAAGGCCACCTTCCTTCGTTTGGGCCACAAGAACCACTCCCAGTGGAATGCCCTCGGATCGGCCTCCTTTATCCTGATCTCTGGGGGTATGAGTTTGGCATGGGGAGCAGGATTTGCCGTCCACTCCGCCCATCGGGAGCAACTCCTGCTCACCGTTCACATGCAGATTGCCTGGTATGTCACCGCCATCCTGGGAGCACTTTTTGGGGCATTCTACACCCATCGACTGCCACAGCAACCCATCTATGTGAGTAGATCGGTGAAAAATTGACACTTCCCTGCCGAAAAAGAATATCTATGGTCAAAAGAAAAGAACTCTTGACATCCTACGTCCGAAAAATCATTGTTATATAGCGTCAAGCTTGTAATAAAAAATATTGTGTTAGTCTCTTTAACTAAATAATACTTTTCCTTAATTTTAATTTGGGGCACAAAGTGTGAATAATAAATATTAAAGATCCTATCAAAACGAACTAATCTAGCAAATATGAATATCAATATCTTTTAAATTCCAGATTTTTTCCTCCTGCCTTGTTATAGCCTCGGGAATTCTTTTTCTGGCTTGGCCGGAGTGTCCTGGAGCCATTATAGCCGCCCGATATATGGACGGTCTGGCCAACGGTCTGGTTTTTGTGCCCGCCCTGAGTACCGTGGGCGAGATTGGGGTGAACGAGATCCGAGGACTTTTGGCATCCACTGTGGAGCAGCTTAGCTCTAATACTGGCATCCTGATGCAGTTACTCTACACGGCCGTGTGGCAAGCGGACTGGAACGTGGTTATTGTGGCGGATCAAGTGCACGGAGTCCTCTCCATAATCTATGGGGTGATAGCCCTGGCCTTATCAGTGACCCTTTGTGTGGAGTCACCTGTCCACCTGCTGATGCGATCCAATGAGCAAAGGGCGGTGGTTGCCCTGAGGCACCTGCAGAGACCCTATATGGTGACCAGTGAAACGCTTCTGAGACTTGATGAACATAAACTGTATGTGGCTGCCTATCGGGAAATGTGCTTGGGGACGAGTCTAATGAAAGGATTTCCATCGGTTATTAAGCTCCTGGCCCTTCGATTGCTGGGCATCCTGTGCCTGAACTTCATCATCTGCTGTGCTCTCTATGAGACCGCCAGTCAGCTGGTGAGCAGCTTTCACGCATGGCCTTATGTGGTTTTTGGAGTCCTGCGTTTTAGCGGATGCTTTTTTGTGGTGGTCCTGATGGACACCACGGGTCGCAAGAAACCCACTCTTTTTGGAACCTTTTCCACGGGGGCTTTTTCCATTGCCTTTGCCAATTTATTCGGAAGAACTCCCAACATGATCACCTCTCTGGTGATGCTCTACGGTTTGCAATTCTTCGCGGGAGTGGGTCAATGTGCCTCGGCGGTTTACCTCACGGAGGCCTTCCCTCTAGGAATAAAACCACACTTGGTGGCTATGGTCTACATAATGGAACTGATCACACGACTGCTCCTCTGCAGTTTTACACCATCGATCGATGGGATTACGAACTACTTTCATGTTCTGGGAGGACTTTCAATGGTGTTTTTCCTTTTGGGAATCTTCTGTCTGCCAGAAACTAGACTAGTAACCTTGGCAGAGGCGCAGATTAAATTCTCCAAGTGGTTCAACAAGGATTTCTAAGTATTTGGAAGGGGGTAATAAATTTTTTTTGCGTACACGATAAGAATGTTTAATGTGTCAATACCTCTTTGTTCTTGTCTACGTATAATTTTGCGAAAAATAAAGGAGGATCCCCTTATATAAAGGAAGGGGAAATAGTAAATAGGTAGACAGTAAAAATAGTAACAGCATAAATACCATACCAAAATATTACATTTAAGATTCCATAAGTATATTAAAGATGATATGGGTTTGATAAATATTTAGTTACTTTTAATTATTTAAACTTTTTAGTATAAGAGAAATAAACGATGGCAATGTTTAATATATAGCTTCTAAGGTTATAATCAAACTGTCCGATAACTAGCAAAAAAAAGTCTATAAAATTATATAATATTTACTATAAAGCAATCCCACACTAACTATTTGCACAACAGGTTAGTCAGTCAGACTTGAATGGGTGAGGGAGAAGGTTGCAAATACTATGAGTCGAATGAACCACAACAAGCCAAAATGGGACGAAAGCCACAGTTCCAGGAACGGAAACAAATTAAAGCCAAACACATGGGAATCAGGTCGGTGATAGTCCGTACAGTAATGCAAAATAATCTTATCTAGCCTGATCGAAACGGCGGTATTTCTGGAATATTTCATTGATGATTGTGAAAATCATCTAATCGAAAAATCGATTTAACCAGTTACAGGTGGCCTAGGAAACCTAACCACCAAATACAATTATTTAGCTTTGTGCCTGGTTGGAGTTATCGGAACTGCGTTTGACTTTTTCATCAGAAACAAGAAAGCCAAGAAGCAAATCCTGGTATGCAGTATTTAGACTTAGCTTGATTAACTTTTTGATATACAAAAAATTTATTCTTTACAGAAGTTTTGTTCTCTTTTGGTTGCGATTGGAAATCTTTTAATGGTGTGCTTCCGATCCACTGGCGGTCGAAACCGAAATTATATGCGGAGATCAAATAAACATAAATGAAAGCCTTGTAGAAATTGAATAAAAGCAATTAGAATCACACAAAAATAAACTGATATAAATGATGGAAAATTATGATTATTTCATAAAATATTGATATAAAACTTATTAATGATTATTATAAATCTAATTAAATTTAATGACACACCTCAATTAGGGAAGCATACTGTCACATATAATTCATAAAATTCTGAGAATTAAACGGAACCAAAAAAGTATCATTATCAGCAATTAAATGGTTCAGTTGCGGTGTTGAACTTATCAACGCTGGTAAAATAAAAAATAAGAGCTATCAAAATATTTAGGCATGCAATTAAAAAAGTAAATTGTTGAAAGCATGCCAAAAATCGAAGTAATAAAACTTCTATGTAGGTTTGGGGATGTAATTTCAAAGCATTTCGTAGAATTGATTATGGCTATTTCTCAAAACAAAGTTTCCTTAATAATGCTATTATTAAGCATTTCCTGTAATCGTTATATGGCTCTTTCTTTAAATGTGTGATTCAGTTTTTATGGTGGACTTTGACGCAGATGATCAGTCATAGCAACAGAAAAAGCCGGGGAATAACAAAATTCCATTAAAGCGCTAATACATGAACCTAGAGCAATGCCAAATCAAAATCGCTGTGATCTGAAAAGGTTTGTATATCAATAGCAATAAATAATACTCACAAGCATTGCCATAAAAGTTATTATCGGGCACTTATGTACGAACCATTTACTGTAATCGGTGACGGCCCCCCAGTGATAAGGGTTGTCCCCGCTTTCCATTATCAATTGGCCATGGCTCTATCTCGTAGACATATAAATATCATTTGGCCAGCTGCCGTATTAGCCAGTTTCGAATCGACCTCAAGCGCAGCAGGTTGTCTTCTTGCGGAGTGAAATATAGTAAGACGCGATCGGCAATGCAGAACGACAAATTTGCACCACCGCCGTTTGGCATGCAAAACGACAAGTACCCACCGCCAATGGGTTTCGTCTCGGCACCACCACAGCAAGGATATCCACCACAGGGACATCCACAGCCAGGATACCCGCAGCCAGGATACCCGCAGCCAGGATATCCCGCTCACATCACACCGGCAGACACATATGGAGGTCCTCCACCACCACCACCACAACCACCGAGGGATCCACCCATCCGAGTGGATCCACCACGCGAAGGATGTTTTCAGCGCAACCAGAAAAACAAACCACAACCCAATGCTGTGGGCTCAGGTGAGTTCTGTTTTCGGATCCACTAAGTTCGTCACCTGCTAAAAAGTTGTCAGGAGAGATAATCTTATCTACTGGCCGCAAAAATATGAACTATTCCTGGAACCAAAGAAGATTAGGAACAGTGACGCAATTTATTCGATATTAAGCTCAAATAAAAGAAATTTCGTTTACAAAAATCAAATGAATATTAACTAGACTCACTACAAAATATAGCACAAATATAATAACAATTAAGGGTGATAATTTTGTTTTCTACTTTGTGATATTATGCGATCTTCAAAATCTACTACCGAAATTTGTAACTCTTTATGTTCAATCTCTTTACTTATGGTAAACTATACTTCCCATCGACTTTCAGCTGGTCTCATCTTCATGTCAGGAGGCATGAACATAGCGTGGTCTGTTGGCTTCCGAGGAGCCATCTACTACTCGGCCACCCAGCACAATTTCGTGGCCTGGTTTATTGGAGCCATTATTGGGGCGGTGGCTAGCTGCTTGCTCGCCAACAAGGTGGCCAAAAAACATGTTTTGGTAAGCCAGAAAAACAACTTATTGTTCTAAACCTTTTCACTAAAAGTGTAAATCATTTCTAGCAATTTTCCTCGGTTCTGGTGACCATCGGTGGATTGGTTATCGCCTGCACCTACAATAATGGCCCTGGAACAGTGGCCGCATGCTATTTGGATGGCATAGCCAACGGATTGATATTTGCCCCCTTCATGGCCCTCGCCGGAGAGATCTCGGTGGCCTATAAGAGGGGCGTTGTCACCTCCAATTTGGAGCAAGTATGCTTTGGCGTCGGCATCTTTCTGCAGATTATTTATACCAGTAGCTGGTCGGCTACCGCATACTACAATGATTTTTCGGCCGAGAACATGAAAGGAGTGCTGAGCACGATCTATGGCATATTGGCTCTTATTATGGGCTCACTTATGACCATCGAATCGCCAGTTCAGATGCTGGCCGATAACGATGAGCAGGGAGCCATTGATGCACTTCGTCGACTGCAAAAACCCTGCGTTCTGACCGAAGAAACCTACGATCAGCTGGCGGAGCACAAGCGGTATTTGGCCTTCAATAAGGACATGTCCAAGAATCAGAGCATTTCCCAGGCCCTTTCCACCTTTGCCCGACTCGCTTTCCTGCGAGTCCTGAATGCGATGAGTATTTCCAGGTTTGTGGTCCTAACTTTGGCCATTTCCATCTACGGCTCGTATGGGTTTTCGAGCGCCAGCTCCTGGTTCGTAGGATTCGCCATATGCCGATGGATGGGAACCGTCATCCCGTCCTTCTGCACGGACTGCTTGGGCCGCAAGAAGATTACTTGTTTTGGCCTCCTCGTGAGCTGTGGAATGTCCTTCGCCCTGGGTTCGCAGTACGATGTGTACACCTACATGAGGGGAGTGACCGCGTTGCTGATGGTCTTCGAGTTCTTTGCGGGAATGGCTTTCTCGGCCACCTCAGCGTACCTCTCGGAGGCCTATCCCCTGGGGGTTAAGCAGCACTTCATCGCCCTAACCTTCATCACCGAAATGTTCGTCTTCCTCATCATCAATGTATGCACCTACAATGTGCTGCAGGCATACACCTACTTCTATGTAATGGGCGCGATGTATCTGGTGGGTTTCATCCTTGCTGTCGTTTCCTTGCCGGAAACGAAGCTGATGACCCTGCGAGGTGCCCAGGAACAGTTCAGCAGATTCCTTAACACGCGGTTCTAATGTATACTTTTGTATTATAAAGTTAAAATTATATTTAACTTGAAGAGCTTAAGCTTTATTTCACAAAAAAACGAATTTCAATGTTCAATACATGGGGAAATCCCAACGGGGAACCACACTATCTTAAATCAGCAATTGACTTATCTATCTTTCAATTCAAACTCTTTTGGGGAAAGTGTATAACTACACTTCAATATTTTTCAAGAGCAGGTTCATCAATTAAGATTACAAGACACCTACATACTTTACTAGAAATTAAAATAAAATTACACAACAATTTAAATGTACAAGCAGTTCCCACATATTTCAAGTTTAATAATTAAGTTGTATGACAGTAATAAATAAGGTAACTATCTCAATAATACCGTTTGATAATGCGAAGAAATATCTACACAGGTATTTGGTGGGAAGGCCCTTACAAGCAAGATTATGTTATCACTAATATGTTATCTTTTTATATAAAGGAATATAAATAAAACCTATAAAAATTGGGAAGCACCCCATATACTAAACTATTTTAAAAGCAATAAAATCTGTGGAATGCATTTTTAAGGGGTCAATTTCACGAACAAGTTTTGATAAGAATCCCTGGCATTATCGCTAGCCAATTGGAGCTTATCAATAACGTGCCGATAAGCCTAAGTCCCACACAATTGTCATTTCGGTCCCATGCCAATTGGCTAAAAACAATTGGCATGGGCTTTCCATCCACCAGTTCCCGATAGGAAATTGGCAGGAACGGTTGCGCGAAAACGAAAAAACCCTAAGAAATGAGGAACGATAAATTTGCACAGCCACCGCCAATAGGCTTTCCATCTGCACCACCACAGCAAGCATTTCCACAGCCAGGATATAATCAGCCAGGATATCCCCACCCAGGATATAATCAGCCAGGACATCCCTGGAGTCCTCCTCCACAATTTTCGGGATATCCGCCACCACCACAACATGGTTATCCCCCACAATTCTACGGTGCACCACCTGGCTATGGAGCACCACAACCGCCACCACATCCTCATATACCCCAGCAAACCACCACGGTGGTGGTAAATGGTGGATGGTACAGTCGGAATCAGAAGAACAAGCCACAATCAAATGCTGTTGGCGCAGGTGAGTCATAGTTCAAGGTACAGGGAAATAAATACAAATAGTTCTAGCATAGTATTTCCACAACTGATCTCTTAACATTTAATCATTTCCAGCGGGTCTCATTTTTGTCTCTGGGGGAATGAACATTGCGTGGAGCATTGGATTCCATGCAAATCTCTACTATAAAACCACCGATCATAATTATGCAGCCTGGTTTATAGGAGGCATCATAGGAGCCGTGCTCAGCTGTTTTCTAACCAACAAAATAGCCAAGAAGTATGTCCTGGTAAGTAACCAATAAAATAGAAGCCACTTCAAAAGCTAATCCAACCTTTTTAACAGATCTTCAGTTCAATACTGGTGATGATTGGTGGCATTGTGATTGCCAGTACCAGGCAGAATGGTAATGCCACGTTGGCGGCTTCCTATCTGGATGGAATAGCCAATGGATTAGTGTTTGCTCCCTTTATGGCCTTGGCTGGCGAAGTCTCAGTTTCCTATATGAGGGGTCTGGTCGCAGCCAGCGTTGAGCAGATGTGTTTTGGCCTCGGAATCTTCCTGCAGATCATCTACACCACAACGTGGAGCTACTCTTCGTATCCATCGTACAACTCCTTCTCTGCTGAGAATATGAAGGGAGTGCTGAGCATTATCTATGGCTTTTTGGCTTTGGTTATAGGCTCCCTGCTTTGCATTGAATCTCCGGTAATAATGCTGGCCAAAAATAACGACGAACAGGGGGCCATCGATGCCCTGCGGCGACTTCAGAGGCCCTATACCTTGACCAACGAGACCTACGAACAGCTGGCGGAGCACAAGAAGTACTTGGCCCAGAACAATGATCTTTCGACGGGTCAGACTATTGGACAGGCTCTGCCCACCTTCTTTAAACTGGTATTCCTGCGTGGTCTGAATGCCATGAGTATTTCCAGCTTCGTTCGCATCACCCTGATATATTCCTTTGGATTCCATGGACATGGATCGGGATATTTGGGCTGGTACATTGGATTCGGCGTCTGCCGGTGGATGGGCAACTTTATAGCCACCTTCTGCATGGAATCAATGGGTCGCAAGAAGCCCACCGTCCTGGGACTCATTGTTTGCAGTTCCCTGGCCTTTGTGATTGCCGCCCAGTACAACATATTCCTTTATGATACCGGAAATGTCATCATGCTGCTTGTATTCCAACTCTTCGCCGGAATAGCCTTTACGGCCACATCACCATACCTTTCGGAGGCCTATCCCCTAAAGGTCAAGCAGCACTTTATCGCCTTCACCTTCATCGGCGAGATGCTGGTCTTCATAGGGTTAACCATAGCATCATGGAGCCATTCTGCCGGAGCCAATTACTTTTATGTCATGGGAGGACTCTACTTGTTCGGATTCGTCTTCGTGGCTCTCTGCTTGCCAGAGACCAGAAGGAAAACTCTTAGAAACGCTCAGGATATGTTCAGTACTTTCTTCAGCAAGGGTTTCTAGTATATCATGTACTATATGTATCATACCAAAGATAATAAATATTTATAGCTAACCAAGCACTCTGGGTTTTGTATTTCCCAATCGTATTTCAGCTATTGATAACCTATATAGACTGTCAACAAAACAATCGTAATTAAAGTGTTGGACACTGTAAAAGAAATTCGTTTATTTTTGGTAATTGGAAGAGAGATTAACAAACTGAAAGAGAGTGTAGAAAAGGTGAAGGTTGCCCAACGCAATTTTACCTTCCAAGGTACACAAACAAGTCACACAAAACACATGCTTGTCTCCCAGGCATTCGTATGCTAACAAATCGTGATAGGGAAAATCGGGCTCTAAGAGATAGCGAAAACCGAAATATCTAAACACCCACTTATCAATCAATACCCGATAAGATTAGTTCACCGCCGATAGATAAACCTGTTCAACAAGTTCGGCTACAAGAACCGAAAAACGCCGACAAGTAGTCTTCTCCGCGAGTTCGACCACAAAGGGTCCAATGCAGACCGATCGACCATCACCGGATGACGGCTTCCATGTCGTTCCCATTCACAGTGACTCGGATCACCACAATCACAGTGACTCGGATCTCCACATCCACAGTAACTCGGATCACCAGCGGGAACGGATCCTTCTAAATGCGCAGACAAGTGCCTGTTGCAATAGGGATCTCAGAAATCAGCCGCAGGCAAATGCAGTTGGAGCTGGTAAGAACCCTTTGCGATAAAACCACCACAAGTAAAACAATAACGTAATTTGTGGACTACTTGTAAAGTTGGATAAAACCTTTTGTCACAGACACCTTTATCTGTGGGAATTCCCACGCACACCATTAAAAATACACAGTCTTCGCTAGGAATAGCTTTCTGCGGCACTCCCTCTTATATATGCGATTATTCTTTTAATGATCATAATAAACTTTGTCGTAAATATCTTTTTATACATTTACAAAAGTACTCCTTTATAATGATATAAAAGCTTTTTGGAAGTAATAAATCATTAGCTATCTGTAATAATCGCTATCTAACGTCACATAAGTTTGGATATGTGGAATTCCCAGTCAGAAATGATTCATTTCATGTGTCAGTTATATTTATGTGGTAAAATTTGGTATCATCAGAACGAAAACTGATATATAAATGTCATTCAAAAATGTTGTTCATGAGCACAGTATTCGATATGGAGATATGTTAAATGATTAGAGCCTATAAGTAAGACAAGTTTTTACATTTTAACACCGCCACAAATTTCTCAAGAATTTAGTAAGCAATTGCAAAATTGTACCTACTGTTCCTTTGTTATCTTTTAAAAAATGTTATTTTGTGCCATTTCTTTGTTTTTCATATTTACGATTTAAATTCATTTGTACCCAATGAAGCTAAATATAAACAAGAGTTTAAAATGTCACGCAAGGTGTCAACAAAAATCTTATCTTTTGAAAAGGCGGCAAAACTTTTTTTTTAAAGATAACGACATTTGTATACTGCACTTAAGATTTGTTAAAATTATAAAATAATTGTTTTTCCTCTATAGCTGCCCTGATATTCCTGTCCGGTGGAATTCACATCGCCTGGAGCATTGGTTTTGACAGTGTGTTTGTAGAACTGGAAGTTACCAACCATGTTAGGATCTGCTGGTTTATAGCAGCCATTCTTGGGGCCCTGCTGGGAGGATTTTTCAGTAGATGGTTTCCTTATAAAGTACTGATGGTGAGAATAAATCCTAAATATCTTTATATCTATATACTAAATAAACCTTTTAAACTATCTTTCAGGAATTCTGTTCCCTTCTCACTATTACTGGTGGAATAGTGATGGCTGTGAACGGATTGGATCTCGATGCCCTGCTGGCGGGGAGGTATTTAAATGGATTGGCCAATGGTCTGGCCATAGCCCCCACTTTGGCCATGGCTGGTGAACTGTCGGTCTTCTACAAGAGAGGCACCACCACATCGGCGGCGGAACAGTGGCCTGTAATGATCGGGTTCTTTGTGCAGATCGTATGTAGCAAAGGTTGGGACATTCAGAGTGACTTTACGGAGGAGCAGTTCCAGGGAGTGATAAGTGCGTTACTAGGTGCCATAGCTCTGATCCTGGCCTTCCTGCTGTCCATCGAATCTCCGGTGGATCTGCTGGAACAGGGCGATGAACAGGGCGCCATCGATGCTCTGAGCAGGCTGCAAATACCGAGAGCTGTGACTGCTGAGACCTACGATCAGGTGAGGGATCATCGCACCTATTTGGAGCACCATAAATCCTTGGGATGGTGCCACGCCCTCCCCGCCCTCGTTCGACTGACGGTGCTGAGGTGTTTATATGCCCTCAGCCTGAGTATGATGGTAGCCTTCACATTAGCCTGGACAGGAACAGCGGTATATGGGGATAGTTCGGGACCCTATGTGCTTTTCGGCTTCCTGCGACTCATGGGCAGCTTCTTGAGTGCCTTCGCCATGGATTCGCTTGGCAGGAAAATCCCACTGCTCCTGGGACTCGTAATCTCGGGGGTTTGAGCTTTGGACTGGCCAGCAAATTCACTGGCAGCTCACTGCTGACCCTCTCGGACAGTCGAATGGCCCTGTGGCTCCTGCTCGTCTACCAACTCTTCGCTGGCTTGGGCTTTGCCCCCAGCTCATCGTATCTCTCGGAGGCCTTTCCTCGTCGCCTCAAAAGGCCCTGCATTGCCGTGTCCTACATCATGGAGATGCTTGTCCAGCTGCTCATCTGCCAAGGGGATCTCAGTGCGATCGGCAGTGACAGCAGCTATGTGGCCCTCTATTTCTTCAGCCTTGGGTGTCTACTTCTGGCGGGATTCCTCTTCTGCGTTTGGTATATGCCGGAGACAAAGGACACCACTCTGCTGCAGGCGCAATTCAAGTTCCAGGAATTCGTTATCCCAGCCTGAAAGTAGGCAGCTCGAAAATAAGACTAGCCAACCCGTAGATATAGCTAAAAAATAAATCTGACATCTATATTATAAACCATGCGTGTTACTTATCGTTGCTAAAGTGACTGTTCAGATTTGGTTATTCGAGTACTTGCTGCACTCTTTTGTGCCGATCACCATGGTTATAAGATTCAGGGGATCACCAGGGTATACAATTGTTAGATAAGACCGGCGCGCAAAGAGGTTTATTTTCAAACGGCAATTAAGTCGGTTCCCATACATCTGCGATAAGATTTATACCTCATAAAGGTTTGCTGGACTTTAACATACTTAGATTACAAAAAATATTTTAAAATAAGAACTGGTTTTTGGTTTATTTTAAGTTTTACAAGTAGCTATTAGAAACAGAAACTTCAGAAAAAATGTAAATAAACAATAATTTGCATTAAATATTTTAGAATTATTTTGAACCCTTTTTGACTATTCAACTGTTGAAAATATTTTAGAAAAAGTTTATATGATTTAAAGTTTTAAATTTAGTTTTTCATAACCTATATATTTTTGAGACCCACGTACTTGTTTTCACTTATTATAGCTGAACTATTTAGCTCATCACTAGTAAATATACTTTTATTTTGAATGTCACTCGACTATACAGTGTATTGTGTCCACTGTAAGTCGTTCAGGTATTTTTACCTTCATATATATTCAAATTTAATTAATTTATTTATATCCACTAATCAGGCTGATAAGTGGGCTGGCAAAAAGTTTTCTGTCTACCCTTATCTTATCGGCCTGTTGGCCATTTCGAGGCACTCGCTCAATAACCGCTCGATGCTCCTCCATTTATCAAACGGCGTCTGAACAGTCGGCTAACTTGATTCGCGGCGTTTGCAAGTGTGAAATTCACTAAATAGCCAAATATCAGTGACACAAAGTGTAAAAATAATGACAAACTCAAGTAGAAAGCCGTGGTTCCAATGAAAAAGTGCCAAGTAAACAATCAACAAATCAACTGGACAAATAATTGAAAACGGAAACGTCGACACAATTGTGAAACCCATTGATTTTCCGTTACGCAGTGTTATTGAGTGATTAAATCCAAAATGCCAATGTTACCAACGATTGAGGAAGAGGCCAAGTTGTCCTGGCTTCGCCTCATGTGGAAATATCGCCTTCAATTCCAGTCCATGGCTTCGGGTAATGAAAATCTAAGGAAAAGTAGAGGATATTCTGATTTTAATCCTACTATATATAATCAACAGCTTCGATTGTTTTCGTGGGCTGTGGAATGCGCTTAGCCTGGTCAATTTTCGACACGCCCGCCGGAAAGTTCCTCAACCACAATAATACCCATAACCTGATGATGAGCTGGTTTATTGGAGCCGCTTTGGGCGCCCTTTTGGCCGCCCTATTTGTACAGCGTGTCACCAAGAACGTGGCATATGTAAGTAGCTTTATTACACCAGATTTATTAATTTATTATTACTTTAACCTACTGTTGGGAGCACCACAAAACTAGCTTTGCCCTTTTTCATGCCCCCTATAATTGATTCTGCAACCATTAGCACTTAACCATTAGGCGGCTTATCAAGCCAATAAACTGATAAGGCGATCGAGTTCAACCTGCATTGGCCATTAAGTGGTGATAGGAAACTGAGCGCTAAGCGAGGGCTGATCGATCGATTGCTGGGATTTCCCAAGTGGAAATTGTATTACATATAAAAGTAATTATTTGAAATTATTTGCAAAAATAAAGTGGAGGTGATAAGCTTAAAAGGTTATGTATTTGGTATAATCTTTTAGAAATCTTACGTAGTTTAATACCCAACTTTAAATGTTAAAGCTCACATGATACCGGCTTTAAGTACAATTTTGTGATATTATATGTTAAGTAGTGTGGATGTTGTCATGGCTTTTTAAAATAAGACAAACATTAAGATAGTGTCATAAGGTCTTAATTGTGATTTCTTGTTAAGATTTCTCCTTAGATTTTTAAGGTATTAGCCTTATATTTTTGTACAATTTTGTTTTTATTTTTCAGACCTCCAGTGGCTTCCTGATGATCATGGCTGGCATTCTGAATATAGTTCTTCCCCAGCACTTTCTGGCCGCCTGCTATAGTAGCGTGAGTGTGGGCGCAGCCTATGGATTGACCCAGGTTCAGGCCCTGGTCACGGGATCAGAGGTGGCTCACAAGTCCATTCGAGGGATGCTCCTCAGTTGTGAGAAGTTATTCCTGTGGCTGGGAGTCTGTGTGCAGGTGTTCTACACTCGCGTGTGGCGCAATATGAGACCACTGGATACGCATGGTTACGAAATGCACATTGATCAGTTGCATGGGATAGCCATAGCTGGATTGGGATTGGGAGCTGTTATCCTGGCCCTAGCTCATCGACTGGAATCACCACTACTGTTGTTGCATCAGGAACGGGATATGGCCGTGGGTGATACCTTAAAAGCCCTACATGGACAATCTACCACAGAGTTGGTGAGATTGCGGGAAGACTGCCGACAATTGCATAGTGCTCGAGATTGGGAGAGATTTGTGGAGGAGCCGGAAGAATTGGTGGCAGGCTGGAGAGTCTGGGCGAGAAGACTGCTGCCCTTTTTCAAGGTCCTGCTACTGAGATGCTTTGCCACACTGGCCGTGTCCTTGAGCTACAATCGAGCCTTTGTGGTGGTCAGTTGGCATGGCCTGGAATGCGATATGAGCTGCATGTACTGGCTGGGGTTCGCCGGTCTTATAGGCAGTACTTTAGGAGCTTTTACAGTAGACTGGCAGGGTCGCAGGAAATTCTGTTCCTTATCGCTTTTCCTCTCCGGCATTGTGATTGTAATGGTGGGCGGAGTCTTCGAGCATCTGGAGTCCCTCAAGAGATCCTTCTATGACATAAACCTCCTGGCCATAGCTTTGCTTATGCTTTTATTCGAGGTTATAGTGGCAGGAGGCGTGGCAGTTCCCGCCCTAATATACACAGCCGAGGCCTTTAGTATCGCCCACAAGGCCAGATGTCTAGCTGGTATCCTAATTCTGGAGCAACTGCTTCAGTTGGGCCTTCTTTTGGCCACATTCGAGCACTACATCACCGTTTCGGTGTTCTTCTTCACGATCGGAGGCCTTAGCTTTATAGTTGGTCTAATTGTATTTATGTTTATGCCAGAAACCAGGCAACTCACACTTTACGAGTGCCTGCTCAAGTTCAAGAAAGTTCCTTAAGGCCTCGCCGTATCTCTAAGTGCCAAGTATCTGTTATCTGTATCTATCTGTTATCTATTTTTACGTACTCTACTCTACTTGCTATATATTCTATTCGCGTGCATATCATTATCTATTAAATACCTATTCCTACGATTTCACTTTGCCAATCTGGCAACCTCATAATATAAGTAATTATCTAAGCAAAATACCCTTATATCATTCGCTGTTAATTCTAATAAAATTATAGTAAATTAGTTTTTACAATTTCGAAGCTAAAGCTCAATGATCTGTAGAGTTGGCTTAAAAAAGATTAAATATTTTAATAATTAAAAATAATTACTTACCTTAAATTAATGATTTTTAATAAATCAAAGATAATTAAATTTTATTTTTTCGTAAGAGCCTTAATTTTTGAATCAAGGCGCCCTGAGTTCTTCCTCTTTCATGAATATGATACAGTATTTTTTCGGTCTGGCAGCATGGAGTCCTTTTTTTGCTGTTTAAGTTTTGAGAACTTTAAAATCTGGTTTGAATCTTCACCAAGGCCAAAATCCGGTTCAATTCCGAGCTAAAGCTTTTACCTTCTCTAAAACCTTTTCCAAGCTTTTCTACCATAATTCCACAGAACTGTTACCACTATTCGCTTTCCAGAGCTTTTCCTGGAAGCCATGCTGAAAATAACCATTCCGCGGTCTATGTAAACAAAGTGTTTTTTACGATTATGCTACCCTTGCCGGCTAGTGAAAGCTCCTTAGCTCATTCATAAAGGCTCCTACTACTCCGCCAAACCCTTTCTTTTGCATCCTGGCACTTTCCCGAATTTAATGCTGATTTTAGAGCGGAAAAAGGACGAAAAAAGAGAGCGAAATCGAGTTGATTAATATGGCGTGTGATGAATATGCATTATATGCTTACCAAAAAGCCGAAAGGGAACTGCGAACCAGCTCCCCAGCTGGCCATCTAATGATGTGGAAAATTCGCTTGACTCTTGTTTTCTTTTTTCGGTTGAAGATACCAGATACTTTTACTACTTATCGATATGCAATTTTTGTGTTCCACATTCCGCTTAGCCAGACAAAAGCACTTCGGGCTGCCATTGCCCCAGAAGTGGTTGCTTTGCCATTCTGTATCCTCATCCTCTGTCCTGTATTTTGTTTGCCACATTATGTTTGGAGATGGGCTTGTTTGATCATGTGGATGGGCGTGTGGCCAGGATGCTGCGGTTGCTTTGTTACTCAATTGCATCTGGCCGCAATTAGCAATTCTGGCCAACACTTGTCAGCCATTCAATAACATGCGGTCAACAGCCAAACTGGAGGCTCTGGCCCAATTGAATCCAGTTTAAAGTTGTTTAATTTTTAATTGAGTTAATTAGCGGCAGTACAATTTCTTTGTTTATGCGGCAGCAGCAACAAGAGCAACAAAAAAGTCAGAATAACAAGCAGAGATACAGTGGGAGAAACTAAAGGATATAAATCATTTAGGATTTAAGAAAAATGCATTTTCAAAATATAGATATCATACAATAAAATAAAATACTATCAATATATTTTCACAATTTAATTTTCGAAAAGAGATTTAATGATCGTTAGTTCTTTAAAATTATATGTGTAGCTTAGTTATATTTAATAATATTTTTACTGATGGAAGTATCATACAAACAATAATTTAATTTTTCGTCAATTTAAATGATATATTAAAATATTTAAAGGTCATACTTAACATCTAGGTTTTATTTATTTCTCTGCAGGAAAATTCTTTCATTAAATTTTGGGTTGGATATTATTTAAAACTTTAAGGTTTGCCTTAGGAACGCACTACGAAAAAAATGTCCAGCGGATAGTGATGGATATTTTTAAATTCAACATAATTTAGGGTGTTCGCTGCGTATTTCAGCTCAAACAAAGTCTTACTATTTACTGCTTAGCTGGACATTTGCAGCGCGTAAACCTGTTCCATCCCAAATAGCTCCCTTTATGTCTTAAAATTACCAGCTGTAAACTGTGGCAGTCTTTCCAGGGCAAACAGAATAAACTATGGCAGCCAGAGAAACGCTCAAAGTCGAAAACTGCAAGCAAAGAAAAAAATCATGGGAAAATGTTGGGAAAAGTAGCAAAGCAAAGAAGAACATGGCTAAATCTTCGCCAGAAGTGCGGCTCATATGAGCTGATGCTGCTGTATTGCAGGTCCCTTTGGAGCGGGCTTAATACATTGGCCCTGGTTGCCCTTGTTTCAATTAACTGAAATTGAAAACGACAATCGTAAACATTAACAGCAATGGGATTCCCCGCTGAGCGGCGGGAAAACAACAATCGCAATGCAAATCGCTTTGGTGCAGCAAAGAGAAAACACGCTGACGGCCAGAAGTCAAGGAAAAGCACTTTCCACATTTCCACTTTCCCGCAAGCCAAAGGAAAAACAGGTTAAGAAATGCTGGGACGGCAGGCAGGCGAAATGTTTGCCGGCATCGTAAATGAAAAAAGCAAACAAACGTAAAATTTTATTTGTGCGCAATTTTCTATAAATTTTCATCGATTGCCATTGGGATATTGGCGACATTTGCGTTTGGCATTTTGCAGCGTCCTTCAGCCAGCGTTTATATATGTATATATATATGTATATTGGTGGGATCCTGGTGGCTCCTTCAGCAGCCATAACTTTAGCTGCACTTGGAATTATGTTTTGCCGCCAACGCCGCACACGAAATTGAAAAGTACGTATAGTATATGTATTACAAGTTTCCAATCAACAGCGAATGAAGTTTCCATAATGGCAAATAAATTATGTTCTGCTCGCCGCAGGAAAAGGAGATGGTGGGTAAGAAGAAGAAAGAGGAAAGTGAAGCGGAAACGGAAACCCGGTAAGCAGCCATTGCTGGCATCAAATTAATGTCTCAGCACGCCGCAAAATGGCCGACGTGGCGAAATTTATGACGCCGAAAGACAACTCTAAAGTGGCCAAGTGTCCCGATGGCCAAGTGGTTTGGCCACCCACTCCCTCGGCGGTGTGACAATAAAACGGAGTCAAATGGCCATAAAAACGAGGGCTGCCACTGACGGACCCAAAATCCAAAAACCACAAAGAAAATGGCCCATACATAAGCATATAAAAGCGAAATAATAAATAAGAACGTAAATTCCTTAAGAGCGAAAAAGGGTTTGACGATCATAAACATACAAAGTGCGGTGCCAAGCTCTCCTCCAATCAATTGGCCGCAGGCACTTCAAAAATCGAGAGATCAAAATTTTCGGAAAACTTGAAAAGTTGACAAATTAATTGGAAATTAAAACGATCTGACACACGCATCTTCTGGGGCGTTTGTTTCTGGTGTGTCTGGCCTGTCAGAAAGTAAATTGACACGTTTTCGTTTCATTTGTTGCCTTCCCGGAGCTTTGGCCTTTGAGTTCTGGCTTGGCAGTTGCCGAAAATAAATGCCGCCCTGCTAAAACTTTTCCCTAACAAGCCTATATAAAGTTTTGCTCGCCTTTCCGGCTGGAACTTTTCCTTTAAATTGCCGAGCTGGCAAACAGGCTTCACCAAAAAAAAAGTTGATCAAAAATTAAAGAAGCGAACGGACTGCCTTGCAGATTGACTACTGCGCCACAGAGAGCGCATTAAATTTAATTAGCTCACATAAATCCAGCTTCGAGGTCCTGGCTTTGGGATTCCAGATTCACAGGGCCCAGGAATCACTCGACTTGACATTTTTAATGCCAACAGAAGAAGGGGGCGAAAAGCGGGTTGGGCAGATGAAGTCGGGTTTTTCCTCGTTTTCCAGGGCTTTCATGACTTATGCAAGTTTTGACGACAGGTGCACGCGTCTGCAACTCTGCTATTTGTGTGTGCCTTCGTGTTAAATCAACTGTCGCTTCCTCTTGGCAAAGTTGGTCCTGCGAGGACAGGACATTCAGGAGCAGAGCCAGTGGAATTCAAGTTATGATAGCTGCATGCGTTTCAACAATTTACTTAACAGCTAACTGAAAGCTGAAAGTGTCGCTGGGGAAAATAAATCGGAGAGGCGTGAGAAAGTGCGGCAAATGGAGCAAAAAGTTGGGTAATTGAAGTAGGAAAATAATAAAAATGCATAATACATTGAGTCGTTTTATTACCTCAGATATATAGACCTCAATAAGAGCCACCGTATGCACTGTTTTAAAAAGATCTCATAACAATTTGGCTGGCGCTTTAAGCTCACGAATGGCGGCGTCATCAACTTTTTCCCTCAATTTAATATTGAATTTTAAGCTTGGATCGCGTTTGTTTTGTTTTCCCAGCGCGTCTGCGACTGTTGCTAATTAAATTCTCCTTTTTGCCCAGATTATTAACGCAACCAATGGAGCAATGGCGGTTGTCTCTTTTGTTGTTTGTTGGCCAGTGTCATTTATGCCATGCAATTAACGCCATTAAAAATCGGAGAGCGCTAATTAAGTGCGGCATGTATTTATGCATTTTGCATGAGTGACTTGTGCATTATTTATGGCTGATTTTTCATCATTTTTGTTTACCAGTTGTGCTTGCGGTCGAATGGATCGATTCAATCGCAGCCCTTTCAGAGCTCCTTTGGAAATCATTCCTTCTGCAGGCGGGGATTGCGGCGTGAGTACACGAAACAATTCACTTCCGTTTTGTTCGGCAAAGTTCCGTTGCCAAGCCCCCTGCCACGCCCCCAATCCCAATGCCCCGCGAAACGAGGTTGCGGAAGTCCTGATAATGTCTGCCACCCGGGCATTGACAACCGCTGCAAATGCAACCTGCAACCTGCCTCAAAACAGTTTGCTGTAATAGTACACTGGAAAGAATTGTTTGATAACTAGACTTCACTCTAAAATTTGTATACAGCGCTTAAAGGAATTTTTTTTTATTTTAAACATGTTTATTTCAACTATAAGATATAAATTCTTATTTTGTTTAGACTAAGAATAATATTTATTTTCATTTTATCATAATATCGTTTTTAAATACAGTTATAAATATAAAATATATAGTTTTCAATGAGTATCTTAATAAAATATTTGATAAACATCTTGTAAATTTATAAGCTACAACTACATTTATTATTCATAACCTGAATAAATATTTATTTTAATGTAAACAAGTTTTATTATATCGTTTTTACAAAAATGTTCCGCTGTATCTTATGTATACATCACTTTAATATAACGAGCAAAATATAAAATTAACATATTAAAATACAATTGTTAAAAATAATAAATGTTATTGAAAAGCCTGTAAAATAATTTCATCA